CTAACCAAAACACAAGGGAAACTCACAGGCTGGAAACTTGAATGAAGCCACTCATGTTAACTCGTCACAACATGGCTTTATTGTACATACTTACAATGCTCCACCTCCAATCCCTCTTCCCCCAACCAATGCAGTCCCATGCCTTAAACCACAGCAGGGAGCTGCGTTTTTGCTGGACTAATGTGAACATATGGTCAGGCTCCATCATACTGGCTGCCGCTCTGGTTCTGTTATGTTCTGTTATCGCGAGTCAAAGTTTGCCTCAATGAGAAATACCATCATGTTTTAATATCGGGAGATCTCATAGAAAGTAAGTGAAGGATTATCACAAGACACAGTAAATGAATGAACTGAGCATCAAAATCAGATATATGTAATCTGGTTATCTGATTAATCTGTTGCAGATGAAAATACAAACTTATTTTAAGGTGAATCAGCTATTGGTTGATCAATAAATAATTACTTTGCAACAATTCTGATAATTGATCAATTCCTTATGTAATTCTTAAACAAGAATGGCAAAAAAATAAAAGGTACCACCTTCTCAAGTGTGAAGATGTTTTTCTTAGATCCGAGATGGATTCTGATTACCAGTGCAAATTTGAATCTACTGTCAAATAGGTAAAATACCTGGATTTATTGAGCTCTGCAGTCAAATGGTCTTATATTTGTATAGCACCTTTCTATGCTTTACAGCACACTCAAAGCGCTTTCACACTATTTGGCCATTCACCCATTTGCACTCCCAATCATTCACACACCAGTGACATCACCAGGAGCAACTGGGGGTACAGTGTCTTGCTCAAGGACACTTCGACATGTTGACTGGACAAGCCGGGAATCAAACCGCTAATCCTCCGGTTAGGAAACGACCCGCTCTACCTCCTGAGCCACAGCCGCCCCATCAAACAAATCCCTATCTGAGTAAACTAAATATGCATGACATTTTTCTACTTAGATAAATGCCTCTCCAAATCTCATGTCTCAAAGTCATCCCCCTACAGTATGTGAACAATTTTAGGACACTGCAAACTGTATTTGTATTAACATCCTGAGCAGAGAATAGCACATCTGTGTGTGTGACTGCTACCTGCCAGGCCATGACAGCAAGGAGGAAAAGCCCTGGGTTGTAGAAGAATGCTGCTATTCACAGGAAGCAGTCACTGGCACTGACAGGATGAGCTCCCATCCATCATCAGTTTATTTCAATCTTGAGTGATTTAGGTCCATTTGGGTCTCCTGTGGATTTGGCGCACACCTGTCATTTCCATAATTAAGCTCTGGAGCAGTTGTAAAAGACAGCGATTTGGTGTATTAAAATCCCACCTTATCAGTCAAGGAAATGTAAAGATGTATGAGGACCTCCTGACTCTTGGCTTCCTGGCTTAATTTGAAATGCTAAGTGCATCTTTTTCTCCAGCCCTGGGAGCTGGGCCTGGCTGCCTGGGCCTCCCAGTGGCCGCCATACATGTTAGCTGTCATGGTCAGATCCTGACTGCTCAGCTCCTACCCTCAGGGGCTCAATCATCAATCAGTCTCCAACTAACTTCTGTCCAGCTCCCTGACAGTCAAGATGAATGATGCTAGCGTCTACAGGATGCTGTATCCTCTCATTAATTCTTTTGTTAGCATGCACCGACAGAACGAAGCCACAGCCTGTTGTATCTGTTTTCCACTAGATAGAGGCCTCTCCCTTTTTTGGCCGAGGGTCAACAGTTAATCACTTCTCAGACACTGGTTATTTAGTACCACAATGATGTGATGTGTCAAAATTGGACAACATACATTCCCGGGATTGAGAGAAACAAAGAGTCCAGTGTCCTCCCACAAGAGCCCTCTCTCTGTCTAAACGACTCTGTGGCTCCATTGCAACCAGTAGCCAGCGCTAAACAGGACCAGCGAATGAATGGGTGCTATTTTCACAACACGCACCTCTTCGTAAAATGAAGCCTGCGCAGGCTGCGGGGACACTTCAACTGGCCTTTTTCAACACCCATTACACTGAGACCACTGAACACAGCAGGCGGAGAAGAAGAGTGACATTTACTGCCACAGATTGCCATACAAAGAGTTAAAGAGAGACAGAGTGAGTATGGGGGGGCACAGGGGTGAAAGACAAGGGGTCCCTCTTTGCTGACGGTGATGAATGAGTGGATCACAACACATTTTGGAGGAGGCCTTTGCATCCACACAGGGGGCTCCTCAAATGACATGACTGACAGCTCAACTTGCTCAACTCCACCTGCACCCACCCTTTTTTACTCAGTGGCCATGTTGTAATCATAGCACACTGTGGATATTAAATAGCCCCAGTACAGAATGTCATAAGGAGTATGTCTGCTTTAAATAATGTACTTGTCAGATCACTGAACCACATCTGAAATCACCTCTCAGATGTTGGAATTCATGAGGCTATGACTAATAATTTTAAAGTTTTGCCATGAAGTTGTGTGGGGAAATTTAATCCACAGAAAATATGCTAAAAAAGTTCAAAGAATGTGGCACTTATCCCTTAAAGCTTCAGTCAAACAAAGAGCCTGTGGGATTCTCTGAAACAATCTAAAAAGATTAGGGACACTAATTGTTAGTTTCCAAAACCAACAATCCAGCAAGCACGCCAGCTTCACACAGCCTCTGGCCCAGTATGTAGATGTGTAACATTAGGCAGGGTTTGAACTTTTTCTCAAGCCCTTTTTTTATGCATCTCGCACACACACACACACACGCACTCACCAGCCACTTTATTAGGTACACCTGTACAGTTCTATACAATTCAATGCAACACTTTTACCATAACATCTGTGTTTATGAAGATCAAAATGTTTCAGTTTTTTGTGAAATTGTCATAAATGTATAAATTCAATTGTATGTTTATTATTGAGGTCCTAGTTATACAGGACTACATTACATTTAGAGTTGTTTTTATTTTTCTGTCCTCCCTGTCTACATACATGAGAGGGTCAGAATATTAGAAACACTTCTGAATATAATCTACTGCAGTACAACACCACCTTTAACTACGTATGACCTCAATAATAAGCACATAAATGAATTTATATATTTATGATAATGTCCCCAAAAACTGAAACATTTTGAGCTTCATAAACACAGATGTTACGGCAGTAGTTTTACAGTGAATTGCATGCCATTGTACAGGTGTACCTAATAAAGTGGCTTGTGAATGTATATATGTAATGATTTGTGAGTACAACGCAGTGCAGAACCTTTACAGCAAAGATACAGCATCACCTTGTCATACAAGCTTGTCCAGTGTCCAAAAACCAGAATCTCACATTTTTAATGATCACAGCCACTTGGGCTCATAGCTCTGCTGTTCAACTGGTACAAATAGTTTGAATAGCTTTTAGATTGTTCTGGGGGAAACTACTGACTGGACAATTTAATGTCAGTGGAGCTGCTGGTAAGAAGTGCTGATGGTGCACCGTGATTCTCATTTTATTTAGATTAACTACCCCTGAATACAAAAGCTTCTCATGCCTCAGTGGAGATAAAGCTCATAGAGGTGTAGTATCAACACTAGAATTTGATCCACATAGTCAATAAGCAACCTTCTTCCTCAGGTTTAAACAACCTAAGGGAAGATTCATTATACGTCTGCAATATCTACAGGTATTTGTCTTAACTGACACATGAACATATTAATTAATGGAGACATGCAACAGTCTTCTGTTCTGAGGGCTCTGCACCAAGACATAATGAGAAAAGGTAGCTAAAATTACTTTGAAAAGTCAGAGCTATTGGCTGTTTTCTTCTTCGCTCTCCCAGTGGAAATAAATCGAGGGTTTTCTTTCCATCTAAAGGCACAACTGGATCTCACATCTATGCATATTAAAACAACAAGAACAATAAAAAGGAGCTCCATGGGGTTGAATCAGCAATAGCCTGCTAACATTAAAGAAATACAGAGCACAATTTGAGGCGGGCTGTGTTGCTCTAAATTACATGGCCTAATATATTTCATTAACACAGCTCCCTCAGAGGGGTCCCTAATGGATGACAGCATGGCATAAAAGCTTGTCTGTCAGGGACACTAATTTGTTCTTAGACACATTCTGTTCAATTATTACTGGCTGCTGCTCCTCATAAGCTGCTTAGATTGAGGTTGCCCACTTTGCCAAAACCAGGGGGGTTCTCTGATAAGGCAGGGCACTTTGGTTCTGTCGCCCAAGTCACCCACTTTTAGCCCACACTCGTGTATCTTTCGGATCAGGTGGCCACTGAAAATAATCCTCTGATCATTGAGAGTGACAGAAAGCAGAAATTGCTCACTGTAGTTGCACAATCCAGCACTACAACAACACATAAATGAGCCACGGAGAGGCTATATTCGCCCTTCCTGTTAGGCCCCCTCATAAATATCCTGGCTAAATGTCACACACAGCATGGCAGTTATTTGTTTTCTCTCTCTGTCAGGGTCATTTGGCCAGGGCAGAGAGACACTCGCAGACTGGCTGGACTTCCTCTAGACCTGTGTATTCTGCTAGTGATTGTCTTGGCTCCCTGCCAGTAAGAGAGAGCAGAGCACTAAAGATGAGTTCCTAAACTCAAGTTATTACAGTGCTTAATCCCAATGTCAACAACAGAATCATGGCTATGAATTAAAAGCCTCGTAATCAATTAACACGGATTCCAATTATTACACTGAGGATGTTTGGCCTCAATACTTTCTTTACTGCTGTCAAATCTGCTGCTTTAATCCCATTTGCCAATACAACTACTCAGTCAGTGTCATTTA